ATTCTAGGGTGGAGTGCATAAGGACTTGGGCTCTAGAGTTAGACTGCCTGGGTTCATTTCCAGTTCTGTCTCACTGTGTGGCCTTGGGTAAATTACTTAGCTATTCTAAATCTCTAAATTGGGTTGTTGTAAGGATTAGAGGTGAAGATGCATGTAAACACAAAGAATAAAATAAATATCAACATTGACACTGAAATAACCACTGGGGTTATTTTTCCTCTGAGGGATTATTTCTCCTCTGTCTCAATGGAAGCTTTGTGGAATTTCGTTGTTCTTTTAAAATTTTTTATACATTTAAAAATTGTGGTAAAATACACATAAGAGTTACCATTTAAACCATTTAAAGGTGTACGATTTAGTGCCATTAAGTACATTCACAATACTGTCCAGCCATCACCACTGTCTAGTTCTAGAGCTTTTACATTATCCCAGGTGGAAACCTCATACCCATCTCTTCCCATCCTTCCTCCTTCAGCCCCTGGCAACCACTAATCAGCTTTCTGTCTCTGTGGATTTATGTATTCTGGGTATTTCATATGAATGGAATCATACAGTATGTGACCTTTTGTGTCTGGCTTCTTAGACTTAGCATAATATTTTTAAGGTTCGTCCATGTTGTAGCATGTGTCAGTACCTTTTTCCTTTCTGTGGCTTAGTAAGATTCCATTTTGTGAGTATACCACATTTTGTTTATCCATTCATCAGTTTAGAACATTGGAATTCTTTCCACCTTTTGGCTGCTATGAATAGTGCTGGTATGAACGTTTGTGTTCCAGTTTTTGTTTGAACACCTACTTTCAATTCTTTTGGGTATATACCTAGGAATGGAATTGCTAGATCACATGGTAATTCTATCTTTAACTTTTGAGGAACCATCAAGCTATTTTCACAGTGGCTTCACCATTTTACATTCCCACCAGCAATACGCAAGGGTTCCAATCTCTCCACATTCTTGCCAACACTTATTTTCCATTTTTTCTTTATTTTTATAGCCATTCTAATGGATGTGAGTGGTATCTAATTGTGGTTTTGATTTGCATTTTCTAATGACCAGTGATGTTGAGCATCTTTTTATGTGCTTTTTGGCCATTCGTATACCTTCTTTGGAAAAATGTCTAGTCAAGTCAATTTTTAAATTAGATTGTTTATCTTTTGTTGAGTTTGAGTTCTTTATGTATTCTGGATACTAGATCCTTATTAGATATATGATTCGCAAATATTTTCTCTGATTCTGTGGATTATCTTTTCACTCTCTTGATAGTGTCCTTTGATGTACAAAAATTTTTAACTTTGATGAAGTCTAATTTATCCATTTATAGGCATACCTCGGAGATATTGCAGGTTTAGTTCCAGACCACTGCAATAAAGCAAATATTGCAATAAAGTGAGTTACATGAATATTTTGGGTCCCCACTGCATATAAAAGTTATCTTTATGCTATACAGTAGTCTATTAAGTGTGTAATAGCATTATGTCTAAAACAATGTACATACCTTAATTTCAAAATAAAAAAAAAATTACAGTAGTAATACCAAAAATCACTGATCACAGATCACCATAATGAATGTAATAATAATGAAAAAGTTTGAAATATTGCGAGAATTACCAAAATGTGACATAGAGACAAGAAGTGAACAAATGCTGTTGGAAAAATGGCACTGATATACTTGCCCAATGCAGGGTCGCTACAAACTTTCAATTTGTAAAAAAACACAATATCTGCGATGCACAGTATAGTGCAATAAAACAAGATATGCTATTTCTTGTGCTTTTGGTATCATATCTTAAAAACCAGTACTGAATCCACAACCATGAAGGTTTACGCCTATGGTTTCGTCTAAGAGTTTTATAGTTTTGGTTCTTATATTTAGGTCTCTGATCCTTTTTTTTTCTTTTTTTTTTTTTTTTTTT